AGCTCAAGGGGAATAAGGTGAAGACGCGGTCTTCTGAGTTGAATCTCAGCCTCCCTAACCAGACGTACAGTTGTCACAGCAATTGGAACTGGTCCAACAAATCCTATGTCTTCATCAAGTGACTGGTTCTATCCCTTCCCTCCTTTACTTTGAGTTTGTCTTCGTGAAGTCTTTGCTTATTTGTCTTATCTGTTTGACTTCATCGCTTGACTACTATCGTTGATTGGCTTCATACTATCTTCCATCCTAATCCTTACTACCTTGCTGCTATTAGTCTTTGTACGTTCACATTATTGCATACTTGACTATGGCTTGCTTGTTGTAGTTTATCTTCCGCTGCATATCAATTAGGTCATTTCTATTGTTTGTTTTTAAAACTTCCACGTTTTGAAGACTTTGATAAAAAATTGCCTATTCACCCCCCCCCCTCTAGTCGATAACTAGCACTTTCAGCTAGCCAAACGTTCATAACATCTGCATATGCTCCTGCAATAGGTTTGTCACCCAGTGGTGCATTAAGGACATAATTCTTCTGTGCAGCAATGAGGATAAACCTCAGATCACGGACCCAGTCCGCATCATTGCTACTATCATCTTTCAACTTAGTTTTCTCTAGGAACAAATAAAAAACATAGGGAAGCTACAACGCGAGCTATTGATCTACACCATAATTTGCAAAATACTATCAGGACTAAGTTCATGATAAATTAAAGTTCAATTAATCATATTACTTAAGAACTCCCACTTAGATAGACATCCCTCCCGTCATCTAAATGGTCACGTGATCCGTATCAACTAAACCATGTCCGATCATCACGTGAGATAGAGTAGTTTTCAATGGTGAACATCTCTATGTTGATCATATCTACTATATGATTCACGCTCGACCTTTCGGTCTCGAGTGTTCCGAGGCCATGTCTGCATATGCTAGGCTAGTCAAGTTTAACCCAAGTATTCTGCATGTGCAAAATTGGCTTGCACCCGTTGTATGTGAATGTAGAGCCTATCACACCCGATCATCACATGGTGCCTCAGCACGAAGAACTATCGCAATGGTGCATACTCAGGGACAACACTTATACCTTGAAAATTTAGTAAGGGATCATCTTATAATGCTACCACCGTACCAAGCAAAATAAGAAGCATAAAAGATAAACATCACATGCAATCAAAATATGTGACATAATATGGCCATCATCATCTTGTGCTCGTGATCTCCATCACCAAAGCATCGTTATGATCTCCATCATCACTGGCTTGACACCTTGATCTCCATCGAAGCATCGTTGTCCTCTCGCCAACTATTGCTACTACGACTATCGCTACCGCTTAGTGATAAAGTAAAACAATTACATGGAGATTGCATTGCATACAATAAGGCGACAACCATATGGCTCCTGCCAGTTGCCGATAACTTGATCATCTCATACAACAATTTATATCACATCATGCCTTGACCATATCACATCACAATAAGCCCTGCAAAAACAAGTTAGACGTCCTCTACTTTGTTGTTGCAAGTTTTACGTGGCTGCTATGGGCTTCTAGCAATAACCGTTCTTACTTACGCATCAAAACCACAACGATTTTTTGTCAAGTGTGTTGTTTTAACCTTCAACAAGGACCGGCCATAGTCAAACTCGATTCAACTAAAGTTGGAGAAACAGACACCCGTCAGCCACATTTGTGCAAAAGCACATCGGTAGAACCAGTCTCATGAACGCGGTCATGTAATGTCGGTCCGACCCGCTTCATCCAACAATACCGCTGAATCAAAGTAAGACGTTGGTGGTAAGCAGTATGACTATTATCGCCCACAACTCTTTGTGTTCTACTCGTGCATACAACATCTACGCATAAACCTGGCTCAGATGCCACTGTTTGGGAATGCAGTAATTTCAAAAAATTCCTACAATCACGCAAGATCTATCTAGGAGATGCATAGCAACGAGAGGGGGAGTGTATCTTCATACTCTTTGAAGATCGCAAAGAGGAAGCGTTTATCAATGCGGTTGATGTAGTCGTACACCTTCATGATCTGTCCCAATCAAGTACCAAACGTACGGCACCTCCGCATTCAGCACACGTTCAACTCGATGACGTCCTCGCCTTCTTGATCCAGCAAGACGGGCGAAGTAGTAGATGAGTTCCGGCAGCACGACGGCGTGGTGACGGTGTTGGTGAAGAACAATCTCTGCAGGGCTTTGCCTAAGCACTACGGAAACTATGACAGAGGATAAACTAGAGGGGACGGGGTTGCCGGCACACGGCTTGGCGTTTCTTGATGTGTCCTTTGTGCTAGTCCTGCCCCTCTATTTATATGTTGAGCCCTGGGGTCAAAACTTGGAGCAAAAGCCTTCTTAAAGTCGGTTTTGCCCAAAAGGCAAGAGTCCCACTCGGACTGCAGGACCAAACGCCACAATCCTTGGCGTCTGGCCCAGATGCCATGGGACTCGGCGTCGGGCCCAGGGCCAGACGCCAAGGCCTCCGACGTTTGGCCCCCTGGCCTCCGTAAAACTCCTTTTGCACCGACTTATCACCCCGTGGGCCTGACCCCTTGGCCTAACCATATCATCCAATATATGAATCTTTACCTTCGGACCATTCCGGATCTCCTCGTCATGTCCGTGATCTCATCCAGGACTCCAAACAACATTCATTCACGAACATACATAACTCATATAATACTATATCGTCAACGAACGTTAAGCGTGCGGACTCTACGGGTTCGAGAACTATGTAGACATGACCGAGACACTTCTCTGCTCAATAACCAATAGCAGAACCTGGATGCCCATATTGGTTCCTACATATTCTACGAAGATCTTTATCCGTCAACCCTTATGACAACATACGTTATTCCCTTTGTCATCGGTATGTTACTTACCCGAGATCCGATCGTCAGTATCTTCATACCTAGTTCAATCTCGTTGCCGGCAAGTCTCTTTACTTGTTCTGTAATACATCATCTCACAACTAACTCATTAGTCACATTTCTTGCAAGGCTTATGATGTGCATTACCGAGAGGGCCCAGAGATACCTCTCCGATACTCGGAGTGACAAATCCTAATCTTGATCTATGCCAACCCAAAAAACACCTTCGGAGACACTTGTAGAGCATCTTTATAATCACCCATTCACGTTGTGACGTTTGATAGCACACAAGGTGTTCCTTCGGTATTCGGGAGTTGCATAATCTCATAGTTTGAGGAACATGTATAAGTCGTGAAGAAAGAAGTAGCAATGAAACTATAACGATCATAATGCTAAGCTAACATACGGGTCATGTCCATCACATCATTCTCCTAATGATGTGATCCCGTTCATCAAATTACAACTCATGTCCATGGCTAGGAAAGTTAACCATCTTTGATCAACGAGCTAATCTAGTAGAGTCATACTACAGACACTATGTATTATCTATGTATTCACACATGTATCAAGTTTCTGGTTAATACAATTCTAGCATGAATAATAAACATTTGTCATGATATAAGGAAATATAAAATAACAACTTTATTATTGCCTCTAGGGCATATTTCCTTCAGCAGGGACATCGGTTGCCTGGCGCGGGTATGATTTCCTGCTCCTACCGTGGTGCGTGGGGACGCTAGATCGGCCTGGTGGCTGGATCTGGCTCCCGCGGTGGCGTATGGCTCCTGGTGTCGATGCCAGATAGGGTTGGTGTCCGGATCTAGCTCCCGTGGTGGTGTCTACGTCCCAACCCTGTTCATAGGTGGTGGTGGTTTTGCGGGCTTCGTTTCGTGGTTGCCGGAACGCGTCGTGACGTTGGGCCTTCGCGGCACCATGATGGTGCTGGCAGAAGCAGGTTGCCCGGCGTGATGTTGTTGACCGTTCCAGCTTGAGGATGGTTGGGTGCGACAATGGAGCTTCATCGGTGAGGTGCTGTGGCGGCAGTGGAGTGAACCAACATGGATGGTGTGCCTCCTCCGGTGGGATGGGATGTAGGTGTGTGGCAATTTGGACGAAAGTCCTGCTTGTCATTGGTCGATGCTAGCGATGACGGCGCCCGTGAGTGTCATTCCTCTCCTTGAAGGCATTGTTGTAGTAGCGAAAGCCTAGGTTCAGATCCGGATCGGTAATGGCGCCGTTACCGGTGTCATTCTTCTGTTGGTAGCATTGCTTTTGAGACATGCGCTTGGAGGTTCTATGTTGTGTTTCTTTGGTGCTTGCCGCTGTTCTAAGTTGTTCGTCAGAGGCGCTATGTAAACCATCTGGGTAAATCGAAGTCTACGACTTTCTCGGGGTTGTCCTAGCCCCGCCATCCACCTGCCAACTTTTTCAGGCACTCTAGGGTGGTTGGTGTGTTGGCAGAGATAGTTTATTTGGAGTTGTTGCTCTTTGGAGGTGATCGGCATTGGTCGCGACGCAACTTTGTGGGTCAGTTTAGGACCGGCTCTTTTGCTTTGGACTTTTTGTATGTGTTCGTGTTGGAGTAGTGTTTGCTACTCGCCAAGCTGTGATGAGAGTTTGTCTGTTCTTGTAATTTATCCTATGTCTTCTGTAAAGTTAAGGCACACAATTTGCATACTCTTGAAGAAAAAAACTAGCAAGTTGGCATCCAGATCATCAGTATGAAGTCGCTGGTGCTGCTTTCCAAACCCAGCTGCGAATGTATCCCGTGAATATCCCTCGTGGCCACTGCCTCTTCAAACCACACAGGTAACATGCAGTCTGTTTTTTTATATATATTCTGAACTGACATGCAGTCTGGTTGATGATAGATGCCCTCCAAAAACTAAGCGCATTTCGTCTTTAGTTTATGCTATCAGATCGCCAAAACAACCTTAAAAAAACTCTTTTAGCATCATTGCATTTGTATACCAACTGGTTGCTGTGGTGCGCCAAGATCTAGCACTCACACCATTGTCAGTATGCACACTAGCTAGTGTACCAACCTACCAATAAAAGCATAACTGGCATTGGCTGCCTCCTCCAAGACGCAAATTAAAAAGCCAGCCAAAGCATTGCAAGAGCGATGGCCGATGGCAGCGTGGACGCGGAGGTGGTGATCGTCGGTGGCGGCATCGCGGGCCTTGCAACGGCGGTGGCGCTCCAGCGGGCGGGCGTGGCGCCCGGTGGCCGCGGCATCTTGGTGCTAGAGCGGCACCCCGAACTGCGCGCCACCGGGACGGCGATGACCGTCTTCCCCAACGGCTGGTTCGCGCTCCGCGCGCTTGGCGTCGCACACAAGCTCACGTCCCGCTACGGCGTCATCGAAAAGTACGTACTCCCGCCGTAAAAAAAAATGTAAACACTCTTATGTTTCTTTACAGAGGGAGTACGTTCCATCGGTTAGCTTTCTCGAGTCTCAATTGATCTGCTGCTGCGTACGTTCGTGCAGATCCCGGGTGACCAATCTTGAAACCGGGACGACGCAGGTGTTTCGATTTGCCGGGAACAAAGTCAGGTCAGTACCATTATACCATTCCCTACTGATTAGCATGTTGGTCATGGCCGTTGGTCTGGTTATCTGACGATCTGGACTGAAAATGGGGCGGGAGAGAAGCGATGAAGTGAGAATGAGAGCGGTGGGCCGAAAGGCGCTGCTGGATGCGCTAGCAGACGAGCTGCCCCCGGGCATGGTCCGCTTCTCCTCCAAGCTCGTCTCCATCGACGCCGTACCCGCAACTAGCGGCTCGTCGGAGGCCACCGTCCTAAGATTAGAAGACGGCGCGGTGATCCGAGCCAAGGTAAGTACTGCATCTAATCTAATACACATACTCCTACTATGTACGAACTGGGATGCATGATTGACGAAGCAACTTGTACATCTGTCTCGTGTACGTAACTCGCCAGATTCTGATCGGTTGCGACGGCGTGCACTCGGTGGTGGCGCGGTGGCTCGGCCTGTCGGAGCCACTGAGGTCGGGCCGGTCCACCATCCGCGGCCTCTCCGTGTACCCTAGCGGGCACGGTTTGAAGCAAGAGATCCGGCAGTACCTGTCGAACGGTATCCGAGCCGGCTTGCTGCCCATCAGCAATACCGGTGTCTACTTGTACCTTGTCAACAACACCATTCCTCAAGGCAAGTTACGCAAAAAGTTTTCCCTGATTAGTTTGAACTGATATGTACTGAATATTTCCACTAAGAAATTAATGGAAAGGGGTTACACAGAACGATTATTATTTACAATCATAATATTCGTATCAGAATCATAGCACCACTGAAATGCTATTAGTGTTGCAGAGAAAGAAGCCAGTGCGGACCCTGTGAAGATCTTGCGGGAGGTGACTGAAAACCTGGGCGCGCACCTGCCCGCCGAGTACCTGGACGTGGTCCGTAACACCGACCTGGGCAACCTCTCGTGGGCACCATTGTTGTACAGAAACCCCTGGGGCGTGCTCACGGGCAAGGCAGCCCGTGGGACGGTAACCGTAGCCGGCGACGCGTTCCACCCCATGACACCGGAGATGGCGCAGGGCGGGTGCTCCGCGCTCGAGGACGCGGTGGTGCTCGCCCGCGCCTTGTCGCACGCCGCCACGCCCTCCGAGGGCCTGGCCGCATACGTGGCGAAGCGGCGTGGCAGGGCGACATGGCTGGTCGCCGTGGCCTACGTGTCGGGCTGGGTACAGCAGGGTGGGACCAACGTCCATGCTGCCGTTGGGTGGGTCGTCAGGTTGTTTCGGGACTGGATCTTTTTCCGGTTCGTCTTCCCTAGGCTCGCCGACACCATGTGGTACAATTGCGGTGAACTTGTGCCGTGCAAGAACCACACCGAGTGAAACATAGGGCATCGGAGTATCATACAGCCACTGCAGGTGGGACCGCACAACAACTGCGCAGTACAACTGTGTAGCTTACTATTCCAACTTGGTTGTACTACGTTATTTCTATTCTCCTAGGGTTTCTTGCTCTAGGAAGGAGACTAGAGTGTGGTTTTTGGGATTTCCACAGGACCCTCTATCTACTTGTCCATGCATTGGAAGAGGTCTTATGGTCACTCCTCTACAATTTCTATTAAAGGAACCATTCAGTTCATTTTACAAACTACCCAAGAGAAGCTACCATCATTTACATCATTCATCAACTTCATCCAAGAAGATCGAAACCTGAGGGTGAAACACCACAACTAGCAGTGAGAACCGACTCAAGCGCCCACACATTACAGATTAGAGAGTTATAAACTCCGAACCAGACATTGCCGGCAATAATAATCATGGGGTGTACACACAGAGAATCCAGAAGGGTCCACATGAGATGAAGATTTACCCAAATTCAGGTCCTCAAGGTGAGACCGTACCCTACTCCTACATGTGTGGATGGTATTGATGGTTGCCTCGTATGGCAGCTAAGATTTGTGCGTGACCACGTATGGTGTATGAGGATGCATATTAGCCATGCCTATGAGGAGCCTCTACCTCCCTTACATAGGTGGACGAGGGGTATGGTTACATGGCATGAGTTGATCCACACGCTAGATTCCTATTCACTTTACAACTGGACTAGCAAAAGGCAGCGTGCATTGCAATGGAAAAATTTACACGTCCCTAAGCACATGTGTCTGCGCCTGCTGGAAGGAATTGTAGCAGGGCAATGTACATGCTTCTAACCAAATTGACGCTAATTGATCACCGATGCACTTCCTAGGTTGCTTGCTCCGAAAAGCACGGCCTTGCGCCATGGACGCCAACATTTGAGGTCATGGACCAAATTGACCGATGATTGATGGTGTCTCTGTCTCACACACGATCCCTCGGCCGTCCTATCTGTACCGCCTATGGCCACATAGATGGACTTCTTGGGGTCATGTGCTTGGAAACCTATAACACTCTGTTTGGATGTCTGTAATGAGGGCTCCGTATTGAATTGGCTGGAATACCAATTCAGCAAGGAAATTGAAATGGACAGGGATACAAATTCACTTGTTTGGTTGTCCACTGAATTGGCTCATTGAATCTCAATGAGGTTTCAATACCAAATCGTGTTTGGATGACAAACTCTTGAATTTGTATATTCAGATGAATTAGAAGATTATGCTTTGTTCAACATACTTTAAAACAAAATCTGTACAAAATATGACTATTATTCAAAGCATATGATGGTAGGGAGAAAAGGTAGCAGGGAACGGGAAGTGCTTCAGACTCAAAGCTTACATCCCTAATTACCTATTTTACCCAGAAATAGTGCTTCAGACATAAACACCAATAACCTAATAATTAACAAATAGAGTTTTGTATTAACATTGGGAGTGTGTAGTGTAGCGAGCAGGACACACATCAAAGGATCTAGCAAGGGCGCTTATAGGTTACAGCTTAGCGCGCCTCAGCGTGGTGCTCGTGGAGGGGCTGGTAGTAGCAGCTGGGGGTGGTCTTGGAGGCCGGCGACCGCGAGGGATGAGGGCGGCAACAGAGATCCCTGCTCCTCTCCTCCATCTCCATGGGCAGCGAGGGGTTCCTTTGAAGCCGACGAGAGCGAGGGACGAGGGCGGCGGCGGAGCTCCCTACTCCTCTCCTCCACGGGCGGCAGGGAGGCTCGGAGGGACGAACGCGGCGGCAGATCTCCCTGCCCCTCGGCGGCGGGGGAGGGGGGTCCTTAGAGTCCGGCGAGCAAGGGACGAGGGCGGAGCTCCATGGGTGGCGGTGTGGGACCTCCACGGATGTCTGTTTTCCTGGGCGAGACAAAGCGGTATGTTTTGCGGGAGCGAGCATTTCGGAGCAAATCGGAGACCTCAGGCTCGGTATTCACGAGCAACGTGCACAATGTTGGGGAACGTAGCAGAAATTCAAAATTTTCCTACGTGTCACCAAGATCTATCTATGGAGAAACCAGCAACGAGGGGAAGGAGAGTGCATCTACATACCCTTGTAGATCGCTAAGCGGAAGCGTTCAAGAGAATGGGGTTGAAGGAGTCGTACTCGTCGTGATCCAAATCACCGGAGATCCTAGTGCCGAACGGACGGCACCTCCGCGTTCAACACACGTATAGCCCGGTGACGTCTCCCATGCCTTGATCCAGCAAGGTGAGAGGGAGAGGTTGAGGAAGACTCCATCCAGCAGCAGCACAACGGCGTGGTGGTGATGGAGGAGCGTGGTAGTCCAGCAGGGCTTCGCCAAGCACCGCGGGAGAGGAGAAGGGAGAGAGGTAGGGCTGCGCCAGGGAGAGGTCAAAACTCATATGTTGGCAGCCCCAAAACCCTCAAGTATATATAGGGGAGAGGGAGGGGGGTGCGCCCCCTCTAGGGTTTCCACCCCAAGGGGTGCGGCAGCCCCAATCCCATCTAAGGGTGGCGGCCAAAGGGGAAGAGGGGGGAAACTTGCCCCCCAAGTTAGGTGGAAGCACCCCTCCCCAAACCCTAGGCGCCTTGGGCCCTTGTGGGGGGGGGGGGGCGCACCAGCCCACCTGGGGCTGGTCCCCTCCCACACTTGGCCCATGTAGCCCTTCGGGGCCGGTGGCCCCACTTGGTGGACCCCCGGGACCCTCCCGGTGGTCCCGGTACGTTACCGATAAAACCCGAAACTTTTCCGGTGACCAAAACAGGACTTCCCATATATAAATCTTTACCTCCGGACCATTCTGGAACTCCTCATGACGTCCGGGATCTCATCCGGGACTCGGAACAACATTCGGTAACCACATACAAACTTCCTTTATAACCCTAGCGTCCTCGAACCTTAAGTGTGTAGACCCTACGGGTTCGGGAACCATGCAGACATGACCGAGACGTTCTCCGGTCAATAACCAACAGCGGGATCTGGATACCCATGTTGGCTCCCACATGTTCCACGATGATCTCATCGAATGAACCACGATGTCAAGGACTCAATCGATCCCGTATACAATTCCCTTTGTCTAGCGGTATTGTACTTGCCCGAGATTCGATCGTCGGTATACCGATACCTTGTTCAATCTCGTTACCGGCAAGTCTCTTTACTCGTTCCGTAACACATCATCCCGTGATCAACCCCTTGATCACATTGTGCACATTATGATGATGTCCTACCGAGTGGGCCCAGAGATACCTCTCCGTTTACACGGAGTGACAAATCCCAGTCTCGATTCATGCCAACCCAACAGACACTTTCGGAGATACCTGTAGTGCACCTTTATAGCCACCCAGTTACGTTGTGACGTTTGGTACACCCAAAGCATTCCTACGGTATCCAGGAGTTGCACAATCTCATGGTCTAAGGAAATGATACTTGACATTAGAAAAGCTTTAGCATACGAACTACGATCTTTGTGCTAGGCTTAGGATTGGGTCTTGTCCATCACGTCATTCTCCTAATGATGTGATCCCATTATCAACGACATCCAATGTCCATGGTCAGGAAACCATAACCATCTATTGATCAACGAGCTAGTCAACAGAGGCTTACTAGGGACATGGTGTTGTCTATGTATCCACACATGTATCTGAGTTTCCTTTCAATACAATTATAGCATGGATAATACACGATTATCATGAACAAGGAAATATAATAATAACTAATTTATTATTGCCTCTAGGGCATATTTCCAACAGTCTCCCACTTGCACTAGAGTCGATAATCTAGTTCACATCGCCATGTGATCAACACTGATAGGTCACATCGCCATGTGACCAACATTCAAAGAGTTTACTAGTGTCTTAAACTAGTTCACATCACCATGTGATTAAGTCTCAATGAGTTCTTGGGTTTGATCATGTTTTGCTTGTAAGAGAAGTTTTAGTCAACGGGTCTGCAACATTCAGATCCGTATGTACTTCGCAAATCTCTAAGTCATATTGTAAATGCTGCTTCTACGCTCCACTTGAAGCTATTCCAAATGGTTGCTTCACTATACGTATCCGGTTTGCTACTCAGAGTCACTCGGATAGGTGTTAAAGCTTGCATCGACGTAACCCTTTACGCCGAACTCTTTATCACCTCCATAATCGAGAAACATGTCCTTATTTACTCCAAGGACAATCTTGACCGCTGTCCAATGATCCATTCCTGGATCATTCTTGTACCCCTTGACTGACTCATGGCAAGGCACACTTCTGGTGCGGTACACAGCATAGCATACTATAGAGCCTACGTCTAAAGCATATGGGACGACCTTCGTCCTTTCTCTCTTTTCTGCCGTGGTCGAGCTTTAAGTCTTAACTTCGTACCTTACATCTCAGGCAAGAACTCCTTCTTTGACTGATCCATCTTGAACACCTTCAAGATCATGTCAAGGTACATGCTCATTTGAAAGTATTATTAAGCATTTTGATCTATCCTTATAGATCTTGATGCTCAATGTTCAAGTAGCTTAATCTAGGTTTTCCATTGAAAAACACTTTTCAAATAACCCTATATGCTTTCCAGAAATTCTACATCATTTCCGATCAACAATATGTCAACAACATATACTCATCAGAAATTCTATAGTGCTCCCACTCACTTCTTTGGAAATACAAGTTTCTCATAAACTTTGTATAAACCTAAAATCTTTGATCATCTTATCAAAGTGCATATTCCAACTCCGAGATGCTTACTCCAGTCCATGGAAGGATCGCTGGAGCTAGCATACCTTTTAGCATCCTTAGGATCGACAAAACCTTTCTGATTGTATCACATACAACCTTTCCTTACGAAAACTGGTAAGGAAACTCGTTTTGACATCCATTTGCCAGATTTCATAAATGCAGCTTATGCTAACATGATTCCGACGGACTTAAGCATCGCTACAGATGAGAAAATCTCATCGTAGTCAACTCCTTGAACTTGTGAAAAACTCTTCGCCACAAGTCGAGCTTCATAGACGGTGACA